GTTGTACACCCACTGTACTTGTAATGGAGTATTTGCAGCGTGGAGTATTAGTACTTTTGCTTAAGTAAAGTACTGATCCTTCCTCCACCTCCAGTTAGGACACCCACGACCTAACTGCACTTGTGTGTCACTGGCTGAGCCTTCCCCTTTAAAGAAGGTGAAGTCGTTTTGGTTTTAGAACAGACACTCAAGAGTGCAGAGTTTTTTTTTTGTTTCATCTTTAAATTATCCTAAATTTGAGATACTTTTTGTTATTTTCTTTGGCCTGTCTCTTCTCTTCGCCCCTTGCTATTTTCACTCTCTTCTAAAGCACATTGTACAACAGTAATAATCATTTGTGCAATACTCTGTGCACTGTGTGGCTGTATATAGGTATATAGATAAAATAAAGCTTCGATGCAACAAAATTTCCTCCAAATGATTGCTAAAGTTAAATCCATGTATTGTTAATGTTTTTCCACCCCTGGCCGGAAATCAATTAATGCAGCTTTAATATTTTATTAATCACATATTAAGCGGTTAAAGGCTTGAGCAGGCTACATTTCAGACCTTTTAACTTGTACGTCACCCAGTGATCCTCATTTAAAAAGTCAACTGAGCACCAGCGGCTAGAAGCCCTAAACTTTGCAACAGCTTTGTGGCTTTGTACCATTCCACCGGAATAAACAAACAAACCCAACTCCCTTTATAAATTAGCTTTTATATATTTTATTATGATTATTATTATTATTTTATATATATGATCTCTTAATTGCTGTAGGATTGCCTTTAAAGCACTTTGTTAGTGTTTTTTTAAAGTATTATATACAGTACAATGATTATTAGTTGTCATCAAGCAGGCAATATCCAGACAGGATGTGACACATTTGTCCATTTTTATCCCCTAGGAAAACTAAATCATACAAACATATCACACAATAAAGTGATTCTAAACAATCTTAAGCACCCTCACTTGGGTGTTAACCACAGTCTGCAAATGAAAAAACTCCTTTACAGTTCTCTATGTATCTTTATTAGATCTTTCGCAGCTCCGTCTCATCTTTCTCCACCTTATTCATCCTTTCAAGAGCTCTATGAAAAATTCATACTTGGGGATGGTGAACTGTCCACTTGTATTTAAAAGAAATCATTCATTTTCACATCTATTGGTATATGCAGACAACCTCTTTAGATCTGAATCTGCACTTTACAAAAAGGAGGAAGAAGTTTTATCAGTGGTGGAATAATGGCCCTAGCAGGTACAAGCCTGAAGCAGCATATGAATGAATTGCCTTCTGTGAACATCAATACATTAAACACCTTGAGCTATGCTAACTACCTTTTTGCCATTAGCAGAAAACAATATTCTTGTTTCTGTTATTCTCTCCACCTTGGTTTCCAAATTTCACAGTCGCTTGAACATGGAATAAGGTAATTCATATTTGCAGTTGTTATTATTGATTTCTTTCGTTCTTCATGGTTTATATGGTGTAACATCCAAAAATAGTGCATGAATTTTGATCAAATCCAGCTTAGCAAGACAAGCAGAGAGGGTCACCAGGTCATACAAATACATTAAATACACACACA